AACTAACATTTACAAAGGGATAACTGCCAAAAATCACTTAAATTTCATGTCTTTCCTATTTACTAAATCCCACATCCACCATGTGTACAGTAACTTCCTTCAGATATGCCCCTGGGAGAAGTGCAAGTCAAAATAAAGGGGAAGTTGCCCCCCTATAACATGTCCCTAGCTCTAAAGAGTGATTTATATGGGTTCACATCAGAAAAAATGAAAAATTAAATTTATGTTTTTCAGGAATAAAATGAAACCTTCCATAAAGTGTGAATCATGTATTTGACTTCTGTGATAACGAGTAATACATTTCCTATAAGAGTTAGTGGTTAGAGTATGAAACTTGGGCATTAGCAGACTGGGGGAGTCATTCTCTGATGATCTTGTGCAAGTGACTTTGACTGCAGTTTCTAACTTGGGTGCTTAAACTGAAGCAATATTGCAGTGCTTGGTTATTTGGGGAAATGTGGGTGACAGAATCACTGGACCTTGACCCACTCACTTGGGTTGTTAATAGCAAATGCAGATGCCTGACTTCACTCCCTGTGGAGCTTCTTAAACGATGTTTTATCTGTCTGTTAAGGGTGAGGCAAAAAACCTCTGATATTTATAATGTGTTTTGGATGAAGGGAGCGATCTAAACGCAAACTATGACAGCCCGTGTTTCTTGGAAAGTCTTTTGTTCTGACAGAGTCTCAGAAGTATCTTACCACATTATTTTAGCCAGTCATTTGAAGTTAATCACTATAGCTTGTTGTGCTGAATTAGTGCCTACGCTTATGGGTCCATCTTAGGCCATGAGGATCACCTCAGGAGGTCATTAGGTGTGGCTCTGGCAACAGCACTGTGAATGAAACTGCACTGATAGTCTGTGTCCTACTGTTTGGGTAATGCAAATAATTTAAGTTTTCTTCCAGGGGATTGGTCTGTTGTTATTGTTTTCAGTAAGAAATAACTCATCTGTTTTGGAAAACACTGTTTAACGTATAATGGAATATTCCACTAGCACTGACAGGCAGAGCTGCACCATGCCAGCCAGACAGCCCCAGGAGCTCGGCTGACTGAGGTGACTGCAAAACAGGGTGGGTGCAGGCATCCCAGTGAAGCTGGGTTCAGTGCCCCCCCAACTGCTATTTTTCACAGTCCCAGCTGTATGAAAAGAAACTGTTCCTAGACATGTTGGTTAGGAAAATTAAAAACCTGACTGTAGGCAATGACTGTGTTTTTTGTTAGAGGATAAACCAATATAGAATAATAGTATATAAAATTTACGAAGTCTTTTTGCATTCAAGATATTTGAGTAAGATAAATGTTAAAATCACCATATGCATTAAATCTTGGGATAAAGCACTATATTAATCCTGTTGCACAGATACAGAAGTTGAACTAAAGGCAAAGATTTTTGTCTGAGAACTGAGGTAAAGATTTTTGTCTCAGCCAGGATTATAATTCTAAATTTTTATTTAGTAGTCCTATCCTCAGACCATGCAATTCTCCCTAGCTCAATTTTATTGCAAGGGTCTTGGTGTCTTCATTAAAGGCCTAGTTTGAAGGATCATATGATTTTTGTTAAAATGTCAGTATTCATATATTAAAGGAAAATGTTTCAAGGCCATATATTGTGGGAAAAATCTGGAAATAAAAAGTATCACTCATATGCAGCCTGAAGGCTCCAAGGACCACTAGACAATGTAAAAAACAATCAAAACCAAAATGTGCTTGTTTATATAACAGTAATGATTTTAAAGAAAATTTTGTGATTTTAGGGTACCAAACTCATGATTTTTCAGTACTTGGCCTTGGCAATATTGTTAGCCTGCAGTGGAGAATTTACATCTGATGACCAAGTTCTCCTGTCACTTCACATATGGTTAATTTATTTTAGAGGATCATCAGATACAAATTCTGTTACATGTTAACAGCCTTGCCAAGCTCAAGGATTCAAAAATCATGAGTTAGTTTATTCTACATGGCAAAGCGATTAGTGAGAGAAAATGCAACAACAACAACCCAACAAATGCTCTTAAAATTTATTCCGTTGTCTCCTCTCTATGAGGCCTTCAACAATGCCATGGTTCAGTACCACCACCAGAACTAGCCTATTTATCTTCAGGGATGAGAGAGATCTCTGAAGTTTAATGACAAAAATATGGGCCTTGCTCTGTAGTATCCATAAGCTGTTTTAGGGGGGAGGCAGAGCTAGGCATTTATAGACAGAGCCCCTCTGGATATTCCTTGTTACTGCAGAAATAGGAAGAGCAGCACCTGGGAACCTCCATCACTGTAGGGCTGTATTTATAGAAGCACCATTAGGGGGAGCTCTGTAATAGACTTAATATCAGCGTTTTGTATCTTCCTCACCTTAAAAACCACTACCTTCAATTTTTCTTACTAGTAGTAAACAAATGGCATTTAATACATTAGTCTTTATGGTACTTCCACCATCTTCTTCACTACCACCATTGAGACTGGCAGACTCTTTAGTAGTGAAGTCACTATAAAGACCAATGCAGAACAAAATGATCAGTGTCAGAATAAATGGGGTAAATTAAGTGTGTTCCTGGATAGAAGTTGCTGTGATTAGCTGTGTGACTCTACTGTTTTCTCTTATAGCCCCATTCAGTTGCAGAGTCTTTCCATAAGTATTTGTGGCCCTTAAATAAGGTAACATCTTGAAGAAACTTTTGCTTTATCACCAAAATCTGTTGCTATAGAGGTCCTGCTGTGAATTTTTTAGGGAGCCATCCATTCATCTGAAGTCCTCTCTGCTCTGAAATGTCTTCTATTGAATCCTATTATGTGAAAGAGAATGAGATAAGGAATTATACCTAATATGTATGTGATACATCATGTGATATAGGATGTGATATGGTATATCAGTCACATTGTCAGAAGTCAGATGCATTCTTTTTTCATTTAAGAAAGTTTTGGTTTTATTTTTAGAAAGATAGAGTGTCCTTCAGCTTTCTGTGAAGTGCAGGACTTAGCGATTGTGATTTGGAAAGCTCTGTATGGCCTGCAAATCTGCAATAAAGAATGAGGACCCATAGCAACTTGGATTTACATTCTTAAATAAGATGCAATGATGGTTAACAATGAAATAGAAATATAGGATGATCTCCATTTCATCTATCTGGAGGAATAGATCCCTTATAGCTAGGCAAGATGCTGAGATGAACCTGTGTTTCATCATATTGTGAGTAGTTCAGAGCAACAGAAAATGCCAAGTTTTTCTAAAAGGTAAACAGTGAATACTTAATTAAACAAAATAAAACTTTACCCAAAAATTCAAACTGTTTGGCACAGTAAAATCAAATTCATTGCAAAGATTAACTCTGTTTAAGCCAAAAAGTGCTGCAAGTTTTTAATTTGGACAATTGTTCTTATAGATCAGAATATAGGAGAGCCTAGGAATGAATTCTTCATATTTTTTTATGCTGACTTGAGGCACATCTTAAGTACATTTAGAAATTTGCAAAACACTCCCTCTATTACTCAAAATATGATGCGAGTGATCTCTAATGAATTAATTCCCAAAGAAATAGATTGAAGTCATTGATGTACTATTGGCAGTTTCTGTAAAACTGCCTGGCAAAAAGCATGCAAACAGTTCATGCAACATTGCTCTGGTCCTTTGTACAACAATGCCCACATTTAAAATAGTAAAATTTATTCTCCTTTGTACCAGGAACAAAGTAGGGGGAGTAGAGGTACAATAGTGTGAACATTAATAGAACACCTCTGAGAAGCACATTGTTATCATGGTGGGGCTTCTACGTGTTTGTATGGTCTTCATTCTATTGATCCTGGGACATCAAGGTCCTAAGAAATATGCTTCCATAAAACCCTACAAGAAGCTAGTTACCAGAACCTTTCATTTCTGTCATTTCCAAAATGTAAAAAGCAACATAAACCCTTCTACCTAGTCTTTTTACTGGGATATGAACTTGTTCCCAGTGTGTAACTGCTTTGTTTTGTTGATGTCTCATCTGCTTTCTCTCTGGGCCATTACTGCCTTCAGCACACTGTTTGCAAGGCTAGATCATGAGCTTCTTGGGGCAGAGTAGCTGCCTTGCTCTGTTTGTAGTTTACTTGCTAAGAGAGCCCATAGAGGCTACACAAAAATGGTGATGAATATTACAGTAGTACTAAAGTACCTTTTGATTTGTGAAGGGAAAGACGTCTGCCTGCTTCTAATAAATCTTGAACCATTCATGGCAGAGTTAAATAAGTTGTATCCCACCTAAAGGAGACCTGCTGCAAGAAATGCCTCCAACCCAGTAAAGCACTGGTTACCTCTCTCTTGAACTTTCTCTTTGCCCCATGCAGACAATAGTCTACAATAAAACTGTTGCAAAACTGTGAAAATGCAATAAACCCACCCAAACTGCCAGATCAAACAGACCTCTATTCCAGTGAGTCCAGGACTGTCTGCAGCCTTAAGGTCAGGGCCAGCTGCATTGAATGGTGAAGGAATTGGATACTGACTGACGCTCTGAAGCACACAGTTATGTTCTTACATTAAATGTTCTGAAAGCAGTCACTTGTTAGCACTTGGAACTGTTGTATTTCAAGGCTGAACCAAAAACCAATGACTTTATTTCTTCTGAACTAGAGGAGATTATCAGACAATCAAAATGAACTGATTTTTTTCCCCCTAGAATGCTAGATGTTTGTTAACACAGAAATCCTCAAGATTATGATACCTGAAATATTTTATAAATTATTTGTAAGATTTCAGGGTATGAGGGCTTGCAGTTCACGAGAACCTTTATTAGAAGTATAGCAGAAAGCAGTGCTTTGATGCATCTTACCAATGTGGAGGAGTGGGTTTATTTGGACAGAAAAGTTTCAGTATGCAACTATTTGGTTTTGTGCAATGCAGACTCACCGTCCAGCCTGTTATGCATACTCTAAAGTGCTCAAGACCTTACTTGCCTACTTTACTTTGAGGTTACAGTAGGCATCAGGATAGACCAGAGTTCTTGAGATCAAAAGTATATGGAACCTGAAACTGAGCCAGTCATGGTTCTTCTTGAAAGGCATGAAATGGGGCTGGGACCTCTAGGAAAACCATGAAAGCTGAAGTTGAAAGGTCTTCTGGAACACCCTTGGAGTCCATTCCTCATCACAACTAAAATATTGAGAAAGGAGAGCAAAATAGTTGAAGTCAGTGAACAGAGTTTCTTCCCCAGTGCTGGAACCATGGTCCATCAGAGAAGAAAGAGCGAGGGAGTGATGGAGAGAGAGAACTGATGCAAGGTGAAAGATCATGCCTCAGGACACACTACCTGCATATGTCAGTGACACTGACCACTGAGGAGAAGCACTCCAAAAAGTATTAAACAGGTGTTAGTTTAAATGTTGATCCAGAAGCTAGAAGATACAAGAGAAGGATGTGATGATGGAATCTTCAGGGGCTGTGCTGAATAGGTGAAGGAGACTCAAACTGAATTAGGATGTGCAGTACGAGAGAGCTGGATACAGTAACCTCTTGAGATCTCCACCATCAATTGCTGTCAGTAAGGAATCTGTGGCCAGAAGAACTGGAAGGGCATTTTGGAAGGTGCATGAGGCTCCTGCCAGAGCTAGTCCCTCACAACCCTCACTTTAGGGAGTATCTGCCTTAAGTCTTGCAAGGTAGGCATGACCATCTGTGAAAAAGGTCTCTTACAAATCTATTTGCAAATTTCAGTAGCTATTAATTGCAACAAAAGAGTAAAATAACTTTCATGCCTTCTTTCTCTATCCAAAATACACTTGGGGGTTTTGAATATCTTTTTCTATTCCAATTCCAGATTCTTTTAAGACGACCTCTGAACTGCTTGATTATAATTGATTGGTTCCTTATACACTTTGTGGTGAAGGATTTCATGACTAAATGATCTCTAAAGTTAATAGAAATCCCTGTTCCTCTAGCTTTTTCCTGTTTCTGTCTATTGCTGATTGTAAGTCTTGAATCCATGTTGATTTAGCTCCAACTATGAGAGAGAAATAAAAGATTTTGAAGTGAATATTTCAAAAAAACTAGCTTATGCCACAACACACATGGCAAGTTGAATCTCAGAATATTCATATCTCAGTCATCAACATAACCTCTGCAGACAGGAGTCAGGAAGAAGGCAGAAGATACATTTGCTAGAATTTAGTCTAGCTGCTGATACAGTGTAAATTGCAGCAGATGAAAGAGACAAAAAGAGAAGGCTTCAACATTAGAAAATTATTATGGTGTGCTCTCTTGTTTTCTTTGAGGAATGAGAAGAGCAAATACTACACAAATGTGATCAAGGTTATCCAAGAAGTGAGGTAGTCACTTTGAAGGAAAAGAAAATCACTTCAGCAAAATTCCTATACAACCCTTGAGTGGAAACTAAAACTGCTGTGATGTAAACACCACCCTCTTTCCCGTGGGAGATTTCCACTCCACAGAACGGGCTGGAAGATCCTTTTTTACATGTCCCTATACTATGTACAATGAATCTGGATTCAGTTGTATAAAGACCACAACACTTGTTCCAAAAATATAACAGCCTTTGAGATAGTTATGGGAGCAATTCTGCAAAACTATTTTAGAGGAGATATAATGACCCAGTTAGATGGAACCTTTCACTAGGTTTTGAAAGTATGGTCAGTGTTTCTGTGAACATAAGCCATTAATTCAATGAAAGCAGTGGCTAAACATCTTTATTTTTGTGGAATGTGACATGGGATTTTTGTGGGATTCATATTCGGTCTAAATATCACGTTCCATACTGCATGCAAATGGGTTTCTTTTGCATATGATTTGCAAATGGCATAACTGTTATGTGCAGACATGCTTAAAAATTCACCAGTACTAACATTCCTTTTACACAGTAAAAATCCCAAACAATTCCAACCACAGTTGTCTCATCAGTGTTAATTTAAAATTCAGTTCTTTGTACAAGCAGTAGAAAAACTTTTTCTAGGAACATTTTTGCAGAGATAAATTTATAAACTTCTCTAACTAATCACTGAAAGACTTTCTTGAATTTTAAGTATTTTTGAAAAAATATCTATCAAAAAATATGAAACAATATTGGTGAGAAATTTAAAACTTTCTATCTGATCCATGAGTAATATTTATTTTAATATTTCCTGTTAAATTGTAAAGAATTGGAATTTTTCATAAAATACTAGCCAAGATCTGAATAGTGTTTTGTAGTGATTAATCAAATGTGTGAAGTTACTTGTTTAATTTAACAAATTGGAAATACAGAAATTTCTCATACTTCCACAGGACTACTTCTTCTAGTTTTGAAAAGCACACTGTTCACTGATGTTCTTTTAAAGACAATCATAGTTGTAATAAATGTAATGAAACTTGCCAGCAACCTTCTGTTACATCAATAAAATACATGTTCTTAGACCAAGCCGCCAGTCCCATACATTTTTAACTTAGAATGTCAAATTAAGAGGGCATTGTGGGCTGGGAAGAATATGTTTTTCCATGTAAAGATTATTTTTATATCTCAATGTTTACTGCATGAATAAAATAATGCAAAAACATTTCACAAAACAGAATTCCAAAGTTTTGTCTTCTCTATTCCTTACGTGTGAAGCAAAAATCCTATATGCCTGATTTTCCATTTCAGTGAAACCTCAGTAGAGGCAAATAAATCAAGAAAACTGGTTATCATCAAAGCTTTAGAGGGCATAGCTGTTGTATTCTATGTTTTGTTAGATGCAGGCTGTGAGATCCTCTCTTTAAGAATTGTTTGACATGTGATTTCTATGTGGCTGTTCTCTGTCTTTTAAGGATTTGAGAGACAAGAGTTTTGAATAATTTGACAGATGTTAAAAATGGCTTTCCGCTTCATCATGATCAGAAAGGTTTGATGTGTTATTGATTGTATTTAAATGGGACTTTCTGGGAAGTGAGGCATCTACTGGGCTATTCACTCTGCCAAAGGCACAAGACCAGATGGCTATCAGGTCATGCTAGGCATGCCTGGCCATAAAGAACTTTCCTTTATTCTTAGACTTTTGAAGGCACATTTCTAACTTCTAGTAAAAAAAAAAAAATATGTCCAGGGCCATGCAGTACCAAGGACCTCACTCACTCATACTTACTTCCATTGAAAAATACTCTGTTGAGCAATCAATCTCATAAAAATGCACTAGAATGAAGTCTCTTTCTAAGAAAAAAGTCTGGATGTGAATGGATAGAGGTACTGATAAAGGCAGACTGCTAGAAGACAGGTCTGGAGTGATTTTGACACTGCTTTAATTTCCTGTCTTGGTCTGAACAGTCTCTCCCTTTTCTTTCTCTTCTTTTTTTGTCCCAAATATCTCACGTACATGGATTTTACATCAATGTAATAGGCTTTAGTGGCCTAAGCCCCTTGGTGTCTGTAAACTGTTCAAGATTTATGAGGTTGCAACTATGATTAGAAACTGGATTCAAGAATAGCATATATCATGCAGAGATATGAATGGATTCATTTCTCAAGAAAATTAGATGGGTGAATTGAAAATGTTTTCTTCTGCTGCTACAGTAATAGAGAAAGGGGGTTGGTATGCTCATTCAAAATTATGGCCTCTGAATCAAATCTTTAATATATTTTTCAATGCATGATAATTTTATCTGTCATCACTATCAAATAGCTTTAATGTTATTCACTTAACATCATTCAAGAAACAACTTAACTAATGTCTCTGACAGAGAATTAATCTTCTGTTATTTCTCCAGCTGTATTTTCCTTCTTACAACCCCCAAAATGACTCTAGCACTGACTCCTCCTACTAAATTACAATATCCAAACAATTTAAATTAGTATGTCATGAGATTGGAGTCGTTTTGTGTTTGACCTAATTATTAAAATTACTTTCTGAGAACTAATGGCATAATTACTCTTATAATTAGTAAAATAAAGAACCTGTAACTGCTCAGACTGGGAGCAGCTGATATGATCAAGCCTTAAATTGAAAAAATCCAAAATTTTCTTGCCCATCGTCTGTAGTTCAATACCTTTCAAAGGGAAGGCTGATACATGCCTGTAATGACTATGTTTAAACAATTAAATCCTGTCTCCACCTTAGCATTTGATTCATTACTCACTGATGAACCTTTGTCCCTACTTGCCTGTTACTGGGAAAACATACAGCAGCGTCTACTACAGATACCAAAACATACTTGCCAATAGCACTAGTGATACTGCTCTGTGATAAAACAGGTATGGTAGGCTAAGCGAAACTGAAAAAAGGGCTTGGGTTAGAGGTTGACCTTCACCAGGCAGAGCTCTGAGCAAGCAGCTCAGGGCTGCTGCCTGCAAAGCCCACTGCCCAGCAGTGACCTTGGGCATCCACATCAGGCATCACCTCCTGGCAGCCCAAATTGCCATCACCAATATGACTCGTGGCTATGCTGGGATCAGAGGTAGTAAAGCTGGGACCAGGGGGATTAGGAAACTTTGCTTGCTACCATTTCTCTCTTGCCCTTTCTCCTCTCACTTCCTATACCATCAGAGGGAGAAGGCTTCCCACCTTGCTGATGCCCACTGGGACCTTCTTGCATGAGCAGACCCCAGGATACATGGTTTGGAATATGATCGATGTGTATACAGTGCACATTATGCCCTTTTGTACAATTTCCCTCCTGAGAAAATATATCTCTGGTGTAATTGTTTGCCTGATTTGACTATGGGTAACATAGGCATGTTTGTCTCTCAGAGTAGGTAGACCTCCTGGGGAAAAGTACATTTCCATTTTACTTACTGTGTATTACACCCATTCTAGAAGACCTTTCATGTTTATTTCTACTATAATGCAATATTCAGACTTTTTTATTATTGGATGAATAGTGAAACCCCCCTTCTGGCTGAATTGCATTTCTAATCTATTTATTTTGTTAAGCAATCAGTCAGTGTATAGCTCTAGTTTTATAGAGGTATCTCTCATTTTGATGCTAAAGTTCCTGAGAGCTTCAAGTGGATAGCATTGTGTTTTGCAGTAATTATTTCTTGATTTGCAGCCCTGAAATACCAGAAAATGTATTTTGAAAATTCAGTTATATTTCATCAGGAAAGAACAACAAGCCATTGTATCAGTGTTCAATTAGAGGAAACAGAATACCTACTCATAAACATTTCACTGTGTTAATATTTTGGACTCAATATTCACTTATCATGAAAACTATGTGCATCTTCACTTTGAACACATGTGACCAGACAAATCCATAATGGATGACACAGGATTATGCTGTGCCCTATAGAAATATCCTGCACATCTTGATTTGTACATGAATTATTCAAGTGTCAGCAGCAGAGCTTGCAACGCCATGCAAAAACGGTATAAATTCCCCAAACAAGAGAGTGAAGATTCTGTAAATACACTGTCTTTTCTGTTAACAATATAGAAATTATTTCCCCAAAGGGTGTATATATAACTCAAAGATGGGCTTGGTTCCTCCTAAATGCACGATACAGCTTTTTCTCCCATAGCTGATTGCAGTCAAACATAATATGACTGACAAATACAGAAAGCAAAATGAAAGACCTGTACAGAATGAAATATTTTATCCACCTTATCATTTAAAGGAAGAATAAATAACAAATATACAAATAAGTTACTAATTTGCATTTTCTTTTCATACTGATGTCCTGAACAAGACATAAAAAGTG